ATCAGGAAACACATTCTGGGCGTGCATGCTAAAGTTCCCGAGCGATATAAAGCTGCCGCGATGCATTGCTCACGTTTGAGTCGTGAGGATAACTCTCTACTTAGTGATGATAACCTTCTCCAGCTCGCCAAAATGAAGTGGAAAGGCACTGTGATCAGACCGCTTTCAGAGATTTCCACGTTGCCATCTTCAGAGGCACCAAGCACTTCTCGACATCAACGTAACTCTGTGATTAGATTACCTGAACTTGATATCCCTACTTCTTCTACCCCGGCGGTTCTCAATAGGACGTTAAAGGGTAGGCAAGCTATCCCCTTCTATTCATGTTCTGCTTGTCGTGTGGCCTCTGAGGACCCTGCAGCTATGCGATCTCATGTTGTAAGGGAACATCTTGGTGTCCCGCCTTACGAATGTCCCGAGTGTGCTGAAGCTTTCTTTACATCCAGCAATCTTGGTACTCATTGCGCTTCTGCGCATGAGAACTGTATTCCAATCATTCCACCAACCTCATTGGCCACTCCATTTAGATTGGCGATGCAATCGGTAAGTTATTCAATCGTTTTTCTTGAATTATTTTATTTGCCATGGCCATCACCCAGCAATATATATATATATATATATATATATATATAGAAATTTGTAAGTGGAAATTCGGTAAAGTTGTTAGTTAAACTGGCTCTGTTTTCGTATAATTTTGAGTGAGTAGATTTAACGTGCTACCCTTTTTTTCTTGAAGGTATCGATCAATAATCATGATACTCCTACTTCCCCGAGTGAACTAATGCTTAAAGAGGAGGTTGCGAAGGAGGATGAGGATATGGGCCAGTTATGGACAAATTGGAACCTACCATCATCTTTCAGTGCAACACCAAAGCTCCAGGAGGAGGAGTCTTCCTCCGTAAATGGGAGAATTGACGAACCGATTCCTTCTTCATCCGCTGTATTTCCTACCACCATCGACGTGAAACCAACTCCCACTTCTTCTAAGAATGGTGGCGCTGTAGGATCTAGTAGACGAAAACCCGCCAAAGCCAATCTCGTACAGCTTAAGCAACCACCAAAGATGACCACCATTACCGATCCGTTTAACACGAGGGACGGCGATAATGAAGGAGAAACTGTAGTGAAAAAGGAAGAACCTGATACTTACGAAATTCCCCTCAAGAAACCACGTTTGGATGGGAGTGCAATTGAACCAACTCGTTGATGTTCTCTCTTCGCTCTCTCTCCCTACTTTCACACACCTGCACTCACCTCCTCCTCCCAAGCATTTGTTATTATACATAGTAGAATCCACCACCATTTCCTCTGTCTGTGTTTAGTACTCTTTCTGGGCCCGAACTTACCCGTCCTATATATTATGGCATATACAATCAATTCACTTTGAAAAGTTCTTATTAGTATATTACATGTATTGTTACTTTCTCTCGAATGCCACATTTGTTATTTTATTTGTTCGAGCCCTCCCTTTTTCTCTAGACCCCAATTTCCCCCTCCGGTTGCCCCTACGCACATTCAATCATGAACTCTTCAGCCTCCGCCTTCTTTGTGATGGCAATACAAGTTCAATTTGGTGATTCCTTTGTTTTTCTCTTTATCATTTCACTATTGATTGGGCTGGCTGTAGTCCTAAAGTCACCAATTTGAAGAGACTTGATGAATCCATGTAAACTGGAATTGAATGCATAGATAGGTACACAGCTCTGGTGTATTCAAGTACCTTAGTGATGATGAGAGGTCGGTAGTCAATCACGAATAGGGAAATTAAATAGTGCTTAGGGGGCAACAATACTGGGGTTGATGGATTGGAGTAGATCAGGCAGTTCTTTTAGGGTGAAAGTAAGTGGGCTCTGTGTGGGTTTCAAATACCTTATCTAGTTCAATCTACCGAGAAATCAGCCAACGTGTCATGGCCAATTAAATCAGCTGTTCAACGAGTTCCTAATACCTCGGTTATTAGTTCACCCAAAAATCCACAGATCAAATAATGAAAAATAATTAGAAACTACTTCCACTCCACCTTAAGTTATCCCAGCTTCCTGTACTCTGTTAATTTAAAATCTTAGTTATTTCATCTTCCCTATGTTAAGACTACAGGCTGCTGAATATGATGGAAGGTCATTTTGCCCTCCATTGAAGTGGTATGACCTGTCATCATAATTATAAAACGGGTTAATAGGCACTCCACATTGTAAGCAAACACTAGCTGCATTGTTCAATTCAATTCAAATTTTGGGAAGGCTAACAAACCGGTCATTAAATGTTAGATGCAACACAACTCCAAAAATTCAGTGAAGTGGATGGCGCTTCGATGTCTTGAAATCCTTCCCGATATCTTGTCTGTGCCTGTTGGACTTCCAGTTTCTTCAATCAGGCAAAAATTTTATTCCCATTCGCGTCGTGTCGTGTCGTGTTCTATTTTCGTTTGCTTGGTATGAGCTTCTAGCCCGTGTGTCTACCTATCTGCTTATTGGCTTCGGTATTGTCTACTACGTCGTAGAATGGGACTGCCATGCTTCTGGTTGAAGTAATAGTTCGCTTTCATCTCCCTTTTTTGTTCTTTAATTTCTTCTTTCGAACCAGACTGGTGGGGGAATGGGGAGTAACTTTCTTACCCATAAAACTTACTTACTCATCTAGTAATCCGTTTTTTTTCAAAAAAAGTTAAAATTGAGTATATAATAGCATGCCATTTTAAATGTGAAATTCAACTTTTACATCTGCATTCGCTGTAAATTTTATTTTTACATCTTCGACAGTTCATTACGGTCTATGGTAGCGATCTGATCATGCACCTATTTAATGACTCGAATGTCATCACTTTTCAAGCACTCTTTTATCAGCGGAATGTCTTACTTCCAGAGCAGTGTAAAAGAAACCAGTCAAGGGTTCATAAGATAGTCAAGATAAAAATTGCAAGAAATGTCAGGCTTCTCAACTCTGTGCACCTTCAAGACGGACAGGAAATCAGATCTAATCGGTCCCTCTGTTCCCAAATATCATGAAAAGTATTTTTACGGGCATTGAATTTCGTTCGGTACTTTTTTAGCATTTTCCTGCCATTGGAACTTTTGGGCTTGATTGTAAGGTGTCGCCTTGTTTCACATCGACTTACCAGACTAAGTTGATCTGGACAAAGATGACAAAACGTGTAAGTTTAGTAGGCTTTTAATTTCCAGACGGTCTTATCATCCCCCACTTTTAAAGTTAATATAATTTATCCTCTTTCGAGTTTAGTTGGATTCCACAGTTAAAGATTTGCCTAACTGTTTAGGTTCTACCACGAAGCTTAAAGTAATATGCGCAAATTCTAGAACGACAGGCTACTTCAATTACTAATATAGATTTTGGTGGAGTGTTTGGAAAGGCAGTAATGAAATCATAATGAAGACACATTTTTTTGATCCTACAATACATCAACACGGAAACCGATATGCAAGCCCGCCAATTATTTCGCTTAAGTTTCTCCAGTATAAAAGTGACGATATTTTTCCCAAATATTTCAGTCATACTCATTTTTGTCGAGCTCTTAAACACACGTCGATCACTCAATAGTCGAGCGATTTTCATTCTGAATCATAAATTTTGAGGCAAACACGGCGTAATAATTTAAAATCTGGAAAGGTTGATTTACCTAGTGGATGCTGAGAAATTGGGCCACCAGAAATGTTTAATTAGTTTGCAGTTCGTCAAGGCATGGACTTCGTTTAATTAATTCTTTATTACAATGCTAACTTGTAGACCCAAACAAATTCGGAAAAAATGGCGATTGGATGCGTGAGAACAAAATTCCGCCTTGTGTACCACCTTTCTTTATCAACCTCTTTTCTTAAATAATATGCCCCTTTTCCTTGCTGAAACCAAGATTCCTTTTACTAATTGAACCCCTTAGCTTTACCTTTCCAAATATGAATCTTGTTATTCTTAGTCAAGGAATCTTCTTATTGATTCACCCTCTAGTGTGAGTTTAAGGCGAATTTACTGAGGACAAAACTCCCAACGTCTTAATTAAGTTTTCGCAGTTCTCAAATACTTATTTTTCCATTTTCCTACACGCTGAAATTATGCTGAGACTAAACATTGTTAGAAAGGAAATTTCGGCGATTTTCAAGTATTTCCATTCCATATATTTTGTGATAAACTATGCCCAGTTTACAAAGTTTCCATCTTATTTCGCACGTACTTCTCTTTCTACTACAATCGATTTTCAATAGATGTACTTAATTCGCGGACTCACCTTCCTTCTCTTCAAACAGGCTATAGATTTTTACGCCTCTGGGCCAATTGATGCGCTGTTCCATTGGCTAATCAAATTTGTAATTAATCCCAAACTCACACTTCAGCTAGGGAATAACTGATCTCGTTTGCCTCCAACTACCATTGTGAAAATCGGACCTGACTCCCTGTAGAATTAATTGCATCTTTATCACTACATATATGAAGGGAGTCTGAAAACGTGTTATAGAGGTTGATCTTACTCTACGCACTTTTTCTTAAATAGATTATTCCTTTATAGTGGCATTAAAGTTTTCTTAAGAAATCAAGCAATGCATTTATGACGGATTGTTGCTTACTAGAGCTAGGATTCTTGAGTATCTTTCAATTTCTAGTGTTGTTGATTTATACTATCATTGGCATTGAAATGTAGAGCTGGATTCAGGGTAATCTATTGCCTTTCAATGATTATTTGGAAGTCATTTCAATTGAATACTTTGGCGAATAGTAACATCCACTCTAAGCTTTATTTGGAATCTAATACATTGGAACATGTCCAATTCTCCATGACCAAGAATTAAATTTCCAAAAGCTTCCGTTTCTGGACAACTTGAGCTATGTTGTCCAAGTGAGAGACTATAGCACAACTTGCAGGCGTCCATTCTCTCATAGACAACGCCTGCATCTTTCAATGTTGGTCTTATTGAAGGTAGTCGCATATTTAAAGAAATTAGTAAGAATACCTGTAGAACTACATTGAATTGATTGGTCAATCTGCTATCACCATTCCACTAAATTCACATCAGTTGAGTCTTTGTGCGATCGGAAAGCCATTCAAATGATTCTAATTTTCCTCAAAATTTCTTCAACCCCTTTATTTTTCTCTACTTCAAACGTTAGTGTTAGAGCTGTCAATTATAAAGGATTACTAATGAGAAACCTATGGTCTAATTATGAATTTGCAGAAATAAGATAATTAATAATTCAGAGTTCTGAATAAGTTTGCAACTAGTTTATCATTAGTGGGGTATTTTCGATAGTTTAATTCATCCACTTAATTTCCTAAACTTGAACTGGACTTTGGGAAACACCTGCAGGTGTTAATCCAGCCCCACCAAATGCATAGCTTCTATTGCAAAGGTGAATGTGACGTTACGGGTAAAATTGTTTCGTCATCCTCAACTTCTACTGGAATGAAAAACGTTTAATCAAGTCCAAATTTGTGCAAAATAATTTGAGCGTTGAAAATGCTGCCTTTAAGTCTTTTTAGAATTGGGGGGGGGGAGGTAGGGGGGAGTTCAATTTTAACCGTTAAACCACGTTCAGCTATTCTCCGAACCATTTAAAATCATTTAAAACCACAATTAGAATTATAAGAAACGCAATTTCAATATTTTCCACAGTATATTTCAGTGGGCTCACTGAATGTTCGTGATGGAGGTTCTAATATTTTGCCTTTTCCACAATCCATCCGGTGGGATGCCATATCACTCGGATTGGAAATGTGTATAGTTACATTTAGAACTTGCATTTCTGTGCATAGTTAGTCCTACCACTTATTATCGATCCTATACTTGGATGAGAAAGCATTGCTGCAGCCCGAATATTGAAAATGGATTACTTACTAATGACAACGCGAGCACATACTGCTTGGTCTCTTAACTCCTGAAGTTTAAATCTACGGAAGCTGATCACACCATCTCTATGGGGAATTTTAAATCTACGTGGAGACGGTTAATTTTTCACTATCTTAACTTCAACATGAGCGGAAAGGATAGGAAAGTTCGCAAAACATTAACTAGAGTAGTTGTCCTACGCCCTCCCAAAGGTGAATTCAGTTTCACGAAAATTAGCTTCCGTTGCACCCTTTAATCACCCCTATTTGTCTTTGCAGCAAATTGTCAAACAACATATCCACCACAACTTAATCTATCGGACTATCAAAAAGTCGTAACTCTATATCCTTCAAAGATCGTTTTACATCGAATTTCCATCAAATAACTATTCAATCGAAAAATTTCTCTTTCCTCCTGCTCAGCTAGTGGCGTAATTACATCGGCCTCTGGAAGATTCTACTACTTTAATTTTGGTTCATCTGCATTTATTTGCCAGTTACCAATTTTCACATTGTAAACCGCGGAAAAGTCTGGCGAAAAGGGGGGGGGGAGAAAGCATAATGGGAGTAGGAAAGGCTCCCGGTTACCTTCCTTCTACTCAATTCGAGAATTATTTGCATATCTCCTATTCGGCTAGGAAATTTCAAATGTGTGAAGAATCACGTGTTACCAATCCCAGGGAGCATGCGCACACAATTTGACCCCATAATCTAGATTCCTCAACGGGGTCAATACCCCGATTCGACAATATACTGAGTCATGTATACATAGGTATGATGCAATCAATTAAGTAATTCCATCTTTATTTAAGGGCAAAGCATTTAGTCCAGCAAGGAAAGAACCAAGTTCTCGAGTTTCCTGGTTAAATACAGGCTAGTATTGAAGCCGGATATCAAATATTGACACAATTTTGAGCATTAGAAAAGGATGTTTTTACCACAGGATTGTTAAGGGACTCTTAGAAAGAATTAGATTGGAAGTCTACTTTCAAAACAATGCTGAAATAAATAGCCCCTCTGATATTCATTTTCGTTCCACCAAAGGTCAATTAGACCGATCGTCCACTTTCAAACCTTTGATTGCTAAAAATTTCACAGGCTGGTTAAATAGAATGCGTAATATTATTATTGTCATTGATGACAGTGGCAAGCAAACTAAGTGTAATGGCATGCACTCTAAACTAATTATTAAAAGAGTTCATAACACTACTTGGGTAAAAGAAGGTGACCTTGGGGTGGCTGTGAGAAGAATCTCTCTTAAACACTTTGTTCTCTGGCGATAGCATGAAAAGCCGTTGTCTATTCACTTCATTGGTCTTGCACTGGTGAACGTTGTTCTCATGACGATAATCACCATGCCACATAAACAGTTACTTGGGTTATCGATCGCTGAGACTGGTTTTAAGAGAGGCCGCTTGATCCCACTTTTTGTCGAGTGCACCCTCTATTTTCTGCAATGATTTTTTAAGAGAGCTGGAATTTTTATCCTCTATTAAGAGAAAAGTTTGTGCATTACACTTTATTCTCAAATTGAATTGATCGATCGGTTTCCTCCTGTACTGTTTTACATTAGTTAATTAATCCACTCCAGTTGAGCGTAAATATATACACCCAACTGTAATTTCAGAGATTATGAGAAAGTTATAGGAGTACTACATAGGAAAAGTGGCTGCAGGAGAGTAATTTTCAATTCTCAAATTAGACTGCATTTTACTGCATTTGAATAAAATTTCCTTTGAACAGGAGGGCAAGCGTTCTATGTATTATTTAATGAAGGGATTACGAAGGCACATAATTAGTTTTTCCATCTTGAAAGCATAGATATCTGCATAGCTTCAGTTTCGAACAGCTCCTCTTATCTTCTTCAGTCAATACGAACTTTAAGATCTTGTGGTCGATTTTTAGTTTTTTTGAGGCGATTTCAGTCGATGCTGATTTCCAAGAATGTCAGTTGGCAAATAATGGCACTTTTTAATCTCACATTTCAAAACCACCTTGAATTCATTCGATTGCCATAAAAAACGTACATCTGAAGACACCGAGTTAAGTGGTCCTGATGGCTCCAATCATAGCTTTTGAATTAGTGAGGCATTAGTGGATATAACCTAACAAAAATGTTTTTTTTTGGGAGGAGGCCAGATGGCCGACAATTCTCATGGGTTCTGTGATTTCCAGGGTCGCCCACTGCCCATTGACGTCTTTATGAATAAAGTATTTCGGATTTCACTATGTAATAGGAGCATTCTTTTCTGCTTAAAGCGTTATTGCCATTTCAAATTTGACCATGGAGATAGAATGACATTTAATTATCTAGCCCCATCCATTTACTGGAACTTACACCCACGCATATTCACAACTTCAGTGATGGATTTTCCTTTCAAAATATTCTAGTTCATAATATTGCAGGTCCTTTGGAGGCACCGCACCATCTGTTGTGATCCTTTGGTCGTTTGACCTAGATCTCCCACCTTCCCCCCCTCCCTCCTCACACAGTTGAAGTCATTTTCCCCCTGTTTTGCATCTACCTATGAATCAGAATTTGATATCAACTAAAGGGCTAATGATAACTTTCAAAACGCCTGCCATTTGATATAAATAAATAAATAAATAATCAAAACGCCTGCCATTTGATATAAATAAATAAATAAATAAATTTGATATCAACTCCTAATCATGTGAGTGTTAAGTTATGTACACTTAAAGTTGCGACTCATCCCTATATGTGTTCATAGTTGATCTATTTTTTTCCCGCCAATATAAAAGCTGAACTTTAGTCAGGAAGAGGGAAACATTGGTTCGTATTGTATTACCACAAACTCGCCTTATTCCAACCAGGACTATGCACAGTGGAGCTAAACTCATATCAATCAACGTAAATTATTTAAGCAGTAACCATTGTTTACAAGCCAATAAACAAGTATGGGTAATTTTTAAATGCAACATGTTGGCGAATCTATGTCTTCACCGCCCCGCCCCCCNCCCCCCCCCCCCCCCCCCCCCCCCCCCCCACCTAGGGGTGTGCGATTTACTTGCCTACACCCGGTGTATCATAGAAAACGTATACTCATAAGGGAAAAAAGTCTATAAACCGGCGGCTAATTTCTGACTACAAACTATCACAATCCCACTGTATGTCATATTCGATTACTTCTATAGTACTCATCTTACCTTTTTCTCAACCTTTGTGTCTGTCTGTCCCTTCTACATCTGTGAATCACTTATATGCTCTCCCTCTCGAATTTTAGCCCAAAGTCAGCTAAAGGGCTAATGATAACTATCAAAACGCCTGCCATTTGATATAAATAAATGTCTTACCCTCCCGGATGCTATGTAGAGTTATTCAATTTCCAGAAAAAGACCTTATGAAATACGGGTGAAGGTAAATCTGGAGACACAAACTTAGCTGCTATAGATTTGTAGCTAGCTAAATATAGAATGAACTAGCCTTAAGGTCCTCGGCTGAATGAGGCACAGTCTGAGCTCACTAAGGTGATTATTGAAAAGGCAAGTACTCATTACCTCTGTACTGGGAGGATACTGAATCAATCAATATTACGAAGGCAAAAGAGCTAGAACTGACGTTAGTACCGCTTGAAACATCTTCTTGCTGTGGTGAAATTACCGGTATTAATGAGATGCGAAAGGCTTAACTGTCATGTTTAAGAGCATTAATCAACTAAGCATCGTTTGAATGGAAGTTCCCCTGGAAGAGAGTCTCTAGAGTAAAACAATCGCTTAAATAAACAGCTGTTAGATTGTGATCCAGAAAATTCACTCTACTAATTACAATTGTATTTTAATTAATTAATTATAATATAAATTAATTATTAATAACAAATGGCAGGCGTTTTGATAGTTATCATTAGCCCTTTATTTGACTTCGGGCTTCGCAGAGGGGAGGAGGAACACCAAAGCGAGAAGAATTCAGGAGGGGGAATAGAAGGGTGTTTCAAAGATGTAAAAGAAACAGACACAAAGGCTCAGAGAGGGTAAGATGAGTAGTGGTAGGGGTCGAATATGACATACAGTGGGGGTGATGGTAGTTTGAAGTGAGAAGTCAACTGCCGATTAATAGACTTTTTGCCTCATGAGTATACGTTGCCC